TCCAAAGCCAAAGTATTAATAATTAAAATTGCTCTCACACCGCCATCCGTCTTTTTAATTCAAAACAACGATACACAAAGGAAAACAAATGAAATTAAAAATGTTTACTAAATGGTGTCCATATAAATTAAAAAAAGAAGCTCTCCGGCATATTAAAAAGCATACTATATGAGTTGATTAATAAAATGTCGGAGCAATAAAGAATTGTACAAACAAACCAAGAGCTTTATTCAGGTTCCAAGAACACACTGGCAGCGGCAGTTTTCCTTGCAAAAAACAAAACATCAAACTGCTCTTAATTTCCGCCTACAAAAAGAAGGGCTAAGCCCGAAACGTTTAGATTTCCTGAGAAAATTTGACTCTTTTAAATGCCTTTTGAGCCTTATATCTAATTACTCTTAATTTACTCGTCTGGATATACGTTTTAAATGTAAGTCGAGTAAAGCTCCTGATCGCAAATATAACATATTAAAATTTCTGATTATTTATTGAGCAAAACAACAAAAACAACAAAAACAACATTAGTTTACTTATAGCACAAATCAATGATGTTTATATGTATATGTGATGTTTTTCGCAGAAAATATGTAACAGGACACTCGAAATAAGTATGTATATGAAGCTTAACTGGTTAGGCGCCTGTTAAATAATACAATTATCAAACCCTTTTGATCAGGGTATGCATTATTATTAAAAACTAGATCATTGGATAATACAATTCAAGAGCTTTCATTGGACTAGCCAGTAGGCCTGTCCCGATTGTGCTCGGCAACTTTTGAGCAACTTTTGGCGTTTGCAGCAACTTTTGTGGTTCTAGCAACCTCGAGAAAGTTTTGCCTTTCTGAGCAACTTTTGGGCAAAATATAGGCTTAGTGTACATATCAAACACGAAGAAGCCAACGATTTCATAGAAAACTTCAATTTCCGCGAATTTCTTGAATGTTTATCAACCTTTTGAAATTTTGAAATTCCGTGATATCGTTATGCGTTAATATCCTTAAATTTCAGAAATATTTGCGAATAACTCTTTCAAGCTAAGTTACAAACTATTTTTCTTGACTAGTGTTAGCAATTATTGTGAAGAACGAACAATAAAACTTTTAATTAACGTATATATAAAAATATCAAGAAATTTAGGTAGCATTTTTTGGATTTTTTTTTTGTCAAAAATTGATTTTTGGCATTTCTTTAGCAACTTTTTAGCAACTTTTAAGCATTTCAGTAAGCACCTTTCCAGCATTTCACGAGCACAATTGGACGGTCCTACTAGCCATCATGGTATATGAACCATTATACCATGCTCTGCAAATATGGAAAGCGTATAATTGTTTTGTAGTGTTTCACTATTTTTTACTATATTTCAGTTTTCAATATTTATTTCACTCGCGTTTGGTCGATAAGAGATGATTATTAAGTCTAGCAATAATATGGTGGCAAAATGTGCAGGCAAGCTCGAAAACGAGACTAAACTTTAAAACTAAACTAAACTATCTAAACTTTAAAACCTGCTGATAGCTAAAAACATTATTTAACATCCACAAGAGGTCCGACTGATAAATATTGTTTTTATTTAATTCAAGGTTCGATTTATTCAAACAACATGGAATCACAGGGAAGTACGATTGACAAAAAAAGGTGGTAAAATTTTTAAGTCATTGAACAAAAATTAGTCTACTCGCGTTGCACATTGATCGATTAGATTTTTAACATTTAACCACCGTAGTGGAGGTGAATAGGACTTTGTTAAACACCTCCCAGTCAGCCAATCAGAACACGTGAAAAACACTATTCATTTAATTTAAATGGTATTTACTAAATTTTGATAACTGAAGGTAAGTTCTATAATTTTTATATAATTGTTCACGTAATATGTCAAACACGAAACACCGTGTTTGACCACATTTCCAAACACCGAGAAGAGAGTTGAAAATACGTCGCGCAGCGGAGTATTTTTGTAGAGTTGTTTGGAAACGTGTTCAAACACGGTTTCTAGTGTTTAATATTTATTCTCAATCGAATCTTAAACTAAGGAGGAAATGGAGAATTACAATCGTAAAAATCTAACCTAATTAAGATCAGGCATCCGAACACCGTCACGTTCATGACTTCCTTCGTTTAAACTTGATGAATTATTAATGAGTTTGAGAACTTCTAAAAGACGCTCCATTAGTTTAGCAGATTGTCAATTTACTTTTCCACTTGGTAAATTCTAAAGATTTATTCCTTCTGTCCTTCCCGCCCAGCTTTCTCTCACTTGTACTCGGCAACAGGAGAAAGGATCGTTTTTTCTTTGATATACAGCTGGGAAATAAGCCTTTTCAATGGTCATGCACAATATTAATGCTCTTAGTTAGTACAGTAGAACCTGGCCATCTAGGCATCGTCCACAATACGCCGCAAAAATTTGAAAATGCATCTTTATTTCTACAGTTAAGTCTACTGTCCACACTAATCCGTCACGAAAACAGAGGAATCTGAGAGCTACCACTTTTCGTTTTCGTGTGAAAGGCAAAAACATTTTGAAAACGGAGCTTTTCTAAAATGCCGACGTCACGATAATCATGTGATTTCCTGACCGAGATTTCCTCAAAACACAAATCCAAAATGACCGGTGATTATTGCGTTTTCAAAATTCCTCCCGCGTAGTATGGATGGGGCCTCAGAAGTCGATTATCCCAAATTCTTCTCTACATCTCTCGAATCCAGCTCGTTTTCCCTTGAATATACCTTTTCATTCCTTAACTATTATCGGCTATCACGAGTCCCAACATCTCGAACTGTAGTTTCTCTTAAAAGTTCGAAATAAATGGGTTCAACTGTAGTGCATCAATGAATTTTGTGGTGTATTCAAAGAAACTGTCTTATGAAAACAAGATTCTTGGCAAGTAGTGCGGTTTTCATGTCAGCAATAGCAATACTCTTCGTCTTTACGAATGTTTCTGCTTCGTTGACCCAGTCCCGAATATAACCGAACAAGTATCGTTTTCCAAGTTGTGAATCGGTAAAGGTTCTAATTCTACCATCGCAGCTTGTGAGAGTTTTGTAACAGACGGTCTAACCCTGGAAAGTTTTGGCGATATTCTGAAATTTTCGCTCACTCTAAGCTTCAGTAACTTCAAAAGTCCTTGCTTGAATCGGCGAACTCTCCAGGTATAAAGCACGGGGTTAATACCGGAGAAGAAAAACGCAAGCGATAACGTGATGTCTCTTGCTAAAAGGAGACCTTGAGATCGGCNGTACATGGATATTGATGAAACATCAAAATCTTAGAAATCCCAGTTCATTTATTTATTTATTTATTTATTTATTTATTTATTTTAAAAGCACCGAAAAAAGTGGTCACCTTAATTAAAGACGGGACTGTGATTGAAATGTGTCAATTGATATGACAACAGCTAACAATTCCACAAAACGAAAAATTAAGTAAGTTTTTTCTCAGGAAAACGCTATTTTCTGTGCTAAAAACATCAATTCAATCTTATGATGGTGAAAGAAAAAAATATGCATGTCCGTAACCATGACGACATCGATGTCCTTACATGGGAAAGAGAAAAATAGTATCTGCACTGACTGCGCCCGATTAGAAATCAAATTTTAGGAACGAGAAAAATCACATTATTTCATCAACATCTATATATTGATAAGTGAATTTTATTTTAGAGCTGTTTGGTCAAACAACAGCGAAAAGGTAAGAAAGTACTGAATATTTTCAATAGTAAGGTTATGGAAAATACGCCAGTATGAATTTTACGAGCGGCTATTTTTCAGTAAAACCCTCGTGTCTATATAATAATTGGCGATAATTCATATATATCCAGTAAACACGTTACTGAGATACAAGATATATTCATCTCATCTAATGATCTTGATCGACATCGTTATTATTCATGGTCTTTATACGAAGCGCGTGTCACCGGAGTTTGTTTACCAGCTGGTTGTCATCGAAATTAAATTCCAATCAGAAAATGACAGTTTGAAAACGTAACGGTGGTGAAGATCAGAAATTCAGCCATAACATAAGCTTCATTTATTGAAATAACACTCAAACTTATTTGCTAATGTGTCTTATTGGAATACGTTCTTCCAACACAAAAGCCAACCGCATTTTTGCTAAGAACGTTTGTTGCTATAGCAATAGATCCAATTTCCTGTTTGAAACAAATTCTAGTTGATTTTAACAAGACCTACCTGTGAGAAAATTGTTTTTAAAACTCAGTAAAACAGTAATCTCTTGATAGTTTTAATGATGAATTACCGAACTGTGTAAAAATTCGTTATTGGACCTTCGCCTTTTCAGGGCAGGTTGTTTAGTTTTTTTATTCATTCAGTGAACAGCTAAGTTTACAAACATGCTTATTCCAACATGTGTTTAAAAGGGTTTTAATTTATCTACAGTTTGCGGTATAATATTTCATCACTTTCCCCATAAACACCTGAGCGACGAAGGACGTTTTACAGCAAAACACTTAAAATTCCATCCGAGAAGCTACGGACATTAATTCAAAAATGTTCAATTTAAAAATTGCCTTTTACGTAATGTTGTTCGTGTTGTTTATCAATCAAGGCTCTTCCTTCTCCTTCAATTCACGCCGAGAGAAACGTTTTTCGTCCGGCTTCACTTACCCAGGAACAAAATGGTGTGGCATGGGTAAGTAAATGTATGTGAAATATATAAGTACAGAACAGACACGTTGTGAAAAGAACATAGTAAAAAAATTCGACGTGGTTCATTATATTTCGTGCATTAGTTGCTGAGTGATCATCCAGCAACTTTATAAGATCTGAGAAAAAGATTACCATATTCGAAAGAAACCTCTCAAAACGGCAATGCGTCTTGTTTAGACGACATAAATCTATAATTTAACACTAATTAAAATTTCAAATGCGGACACTGTATTCAAGTATTCTGACTGAGAAGTTCATCACAAGCACTTATTTGCTATATTTTCAGTTATTTCGCAAAATCTCATTATGTTTTGTCAACATCTTATCGCTAATAGCCTTATCCACCAGTTTAACAACCGGGGTTTGATGTAGAATGAAATTCTCCTGACTACTGTTGCAAGAAATTTGCAGAGATTAATAAGAAGAATTTGTTTCTGAACATCAGGATATTGAGCGCCAGAAAACCGTGAGCGTTATTTGGAAGAGCTGGGACCTAATGGTTGGCCGACTGGACCCTGGATTGAGTGGTCTGGGTTCCAGTCCAGCCCAGAGTTGTTTTGCCGTGTTATTAGGCAAGAAACTTCAATTTTACCAAGTCTCTTTCCAGTGAAAATGAGAACTGACGAGCTTTTACGGCAAACAACTTAACCGTATACGCTTTTACATCGACTGCATACATTTTTAGTCTGTTTTCAAATTGTAATTGATTTTAAGAAATTTCTGTAAGAGAGGGCCACAAAATTTGATTACACTCACCAGACTTTTTCAATTTGACTTCGCAATCTTCCCCATTATATCTCTCGTTTTGTTTCATTCAATGAAAATCCGTCTATGGCCTGGGGAGGGGGGGTACTCCCATATATATAAGATATATGGGTATGTGCCGCTGTTAAGGGGTATGGTTTACAGACAGTCTAGAATAGGGTACAATTTACCGGAAAAGTGGCCAGTGTTGAAATAATTTAGTTTAGAGCAGGATTCTTTACCCCGGGGTTCTATAATAGAAATTGAAACTCGAAAGTGACTTTGTAAGGCATTGGTGTAGTCAGCTTATGTTGAACAATGATAGTGATAAAGTTTCTGCATGGAAAATAGATAGTCTGGCATATGGTAGGGGGTTTTGGTGCCCAGTCTAGAAGAGGGTTGCAAAATCAAGCTGATCATAGTCTAGTAAAGGGTAAGGGTTTTCAGTGTCCAAGCGGCAAACCCATACAAAGATTTACAGAGTACCCATAGGGGCCGTGTCTTTGGGTTTTGACCTTTCGAAGTTACAGTCGAACCCCTATTAAGCGGCCACCCATTAAATGGCCACCCCCTATGAGAGGCCAGTAATAAAAGTCCCGATGAGGGCTCTTCTATTGTTTTTGCCTCTATTAAGCGGACAGCCGCCTATAAGCGGCCACTATCCATTTCCCAGAGGGTGACCGTTTAATAAGGGTTAAACTAAATACTCAGGCTAGTGCCCCTTTAATGTTTCAATTCTAATTTTCGATCGCAGGTAACGAAGCAAAAAACTACGAAGATCTGGGAGTGAATATTAAGACTGACAAATGTTGCCGTACTCACGATCAATGCAGAGAATACATCCCAGCCTTTGCCTCCATTGGCGGAATGCAGAATAACTTACCTTACACGGTCTCACACTGTGATTGTGACTCGGCCTTTTATCAATGCTTAAAACAAGCCAACACTGAGACAGCACAACTGGTTGGAGATATGTTTTTCAATGTCTTAAAAGTACCTTGTTTTGTTTGGAAAAAGAAAGACTGTCCTGACGGAAGATGCCAGGAACAACGAAAGGCTGTTTTGCAGCTTCCTAAACATTTTCGCTGAGCGGAAAAATGTTACAACTTGCTGCACTGATGGAATCGCTGATCCTGTCTACAAAGTCATTAAAGTGAAACTTCGAGACTATGTTTTTCTTTTAAGACTACGACATAAGCACAAGCACATAAGCCTAACTGTAGTGAGGACGGGCACAGCATAAGTATAAACACAAACAAATGGTAGTGAGGACA